GGGCATCAGTCTCCTCTTTTCAGACATAGGAACTTTGTCCTGATGACTCCAAGACCCCTTCCAGCTGCTGACCTTGGTTCTTCCACCCTTCCCAAAGGGCCAAGGTCACGGGTCTGTAACTCGCTTTGCAAACTTGAATTAAAGTGCTCTGTCAGTGCCGGGCACTCCCGTGTGTAGAGGTCTCGACGGTAGCTGTTCTGCCGTCATCCCGCCAATAGCTAGCATTTACAGAGGGCTTTACGCTTGCAAAGCTTTCTTTAAAATAGTAACAATAGCAATATTAATAGTGCCAACATTTGTATAGCGCTTACTGTGTGCCAGGCACTGTGCTAAATGCTTTATCTCATTTGATCCTCTCACAGCAACCCTGAGAAGGAGGTGCTCTCATTATCCCCATTTTATAGAGGAGAAAACTGAGGCAGACAGCAGGGCAGTGCCCAGGGCACTACGGATCTGAGTTGGGGGTGGGCTTCCCAGCTGCGGGGGAGCGCCGTGAGCTGCGGCGCCCCCTGGCTCCCGTGGTGGGTACTGAGCTCGTGGCTGTGACCTGGGCTGTGACACTGGCGGTCTGGCCCCCCGGGGCTTCTGCCCCGCTCTCTTTCCTGTTGTGTCTGGGGCCAGGCGCGGAGGGGGCTCAGGAAGGAGCCGTGAGTCACTCGTGGGGAAAGACCTCCCGCAAACACCCATGGAGTTCTGAGGGAGTTTTATGGATGTGATTTTGAAAGCTTCCAGCTTTACTGGCAGGGGGAGGCGGGGGGCGACTTGCCCTGCAAGTGTTTGCTGCAGGGAGGCCGGAGGGGCCAGCAGGAGAGACAGCCCGGCTCCATGGGAAGTCAGCCGGGCTGGCCTGGTGGGCTTCGGGCCGCTGGCTCCTGCGTGAAGGGGCGTGCCGGCAGATGTTTAACAGCCGGCTCTCGGAGGGCAGTATCCACAGTAGACTTTTAAATTTAATTCGCATCATTAATATTTTCTCCACCACTTTCTCAAGTATAGACACTCAGCAAAACAAGAAGCAGTCCCCGATTTGTTGAATTTGTTGCTTTCCCAGAGGTAAATGCTCACCCTGAAAATTGAATCATCAGCTCCTGGAGCCGGTAAGAGCTGGTTCCAGCACTGCCCCGGTCGCACTTAACCTGCCCATCCTAAGGATGGACCAGCACAGGAGTGAGAGTAACAGTCGCTGTCCTCAGGGAGGGAGCTAAGGAGTAAGAATGTGTTAACACAGAGTCACTGAGAGAGAGGGAGCGAGCCCCAGAGGTCTGGGCAGAATCAGCAGAGGTGTCACGTGGGAAGCCCAGCATGGCTTCTGGGCACCTCAGTTTCCTTTTTCTACAAATGAGGAAGTTGGACCCAAAGCCCTCCGGGGTCCCCTTCTAGTCTACATCTGTGACCTCGTGGTGAGGCAGGAGAGGCAGATGAGAGGGCAAGAGGGGTAAGCATTATTAAGTTTGTTGCTTATTATTATTAAGCTTGCTGACAAGTGTGTTAAGTTCCTACTATGTGTCAGCTGCTGTGCTAAGCAGTTTACAGTCGGGTCTCATTTACCACTCACCAGAGCCCTGGCAGGAGAAGCTATTATGATCCTTATTTTGGGGTTGCGGAAACTGAGGCAGACTTGCCCAGTGCCATACAACTAGTGTCTGAGGCTGAATTTGACCTCAGGTCTTCTCATTCCAGGCCTAGCACTCTCTCCACCTGCCCTACCTAGCTTTTGCAGGTAAGGAAACTGAAGCCCAGACAGGTGCAGTGATTTATCCCTATCATGTGGGTGGCACCCAGCCTGTCACCTAGCATGTTACTTGGCTAAACTTTGGACCCTGGCCCCAGAGGTTGTGCTGCCCTCCTGCCTGTGTCTTCTGGCTCCCCGTCTTCACCTGCGCACCTGGGTTGTGGGACGTGCTGTGCCCGCCGCCGCCCCCCCCCCACCTGGCCGCTGGCTGCACTCCCGCAGCCTTGGCTCCAAGGGTACTGGCCCCCATGTCTCAGGGAGAACCGTTCTGTCAGCAGGAGGCCTTGTCTCACCATCATTTTCCCACGGGAAGAGAGTTTGGCTTCCCTTGTTACTGTTTTCCTTCCTGCCTGTTTGTCTTTTCCTTAGAGAGAAAGAGAGATGGAGGAGAATTTTCCTTTTGGCAGAGTGAGAGGTGTTTCTAATTTCTTTTAGCTGTGTGTGTGTGTGTGTGTGTGTGTGTGTGTGTGTGTGTGTGTGTGCGCGTGCGCATGCGCACGCAGAGAACTGGCCCGTTTCATAAATTAGACCTTCCTTTCTTATGCCCCGCCACTCATCACATGTTGAACGAGGACCTGCTGGGCGCAGGTTGTGCGCCTTTTGCTCATCTGTAATGTAGAGGTGATTAGATCACCTTGAAGGTGAGCGTTGCCAGGCCCTTGGACCGCTCCTCCTCTGGCCTGGACTCAAAGCTGTCCGTGGTCCTGGTCCCCTGCCTCAGGATCTGTGAGTCGCTGAGCACACCTCATGCTGCTTCACTGCTGCCTCCGATACTCAGACACTAGGAAGCCCGGCTCTGCCTCCTGTAATGCCCAGATAAAATTGCATTGAGTGGGCTGTGTGTTTTCTCCTCCATTAGACTGAGGGCCCTTGAGAGTAGTGACTGTTCTCTGCCTTGCTGAGTAGGTGCTCTTAGAAATGCTAGCTAACTCACCGACCCTTTTCAGAGAGTCTGGACCTTTCCCTTTCCCAGATTGCCACCAGTGGCTTTGTGACTCGGGCAGGTGTCCAGGCCTCTCCTGAGCTCCGTCCGTCCCATCTCTGAAAGGGGGGTGGTCCTGCTTGAAGGATGCTTAGCTCCCTGTCCTGCTCCTCTGTTTCTTCATTGTTGGAAGATGGTGGAGCTGGGAGGAGGTGTTCTTGCTCCCCAGGCGAGGTTTGAAACAGGCTCCCCAGTGTCTTCCTGAACAGTGCAATCCAGGGGACTCAAATTATCCTAAAATGAATCAGCCCCAGGGTGAGAGGTTCTTGTGATCACTTCTCAGGGGGCCCTGAGTGAGGGTGGAAGGCACTGGCAATGCTTGGAACCTGGAGGAGAGGGTCGGGGGGTGGAGGGTAGCTAAAGAGGGTTTGCTAGGTCAGAAGGGTTACAGAAGAATGGACTAAGGAGCTGACGGAGGGACCTCAGAGGCCTCCTCTGGCCTAGGAACCCTGGGCCATCAGGGTTAAGTCGCTTGCTGACTTCTCAGTGCTTCTCAGGGTCATTTTGGAATGTTGAAAAGAAAATGCATAGGATTGCAAGGGAAATTGATTATCTTGACATAGCTATCTAATTACATACAAATAGACCCACCAGCCTGAGGTTAAGACCCTCTGTTCTGAGGGTGCAGACCCGATCTGCTTGGACCCAGATAGCAGAGCACGGTCATTGCAGTGGGGAGGAAAGGCAGAGAGCTAGCTCTGAGTGGGGTGGCGCAGCCTTACAGAGGAAGCAGATGACCGTTTGTTGGACGTAGGATGGGAGAGTTGGGCCTGGAAGGAAGCTTAGAGGTCACTGAGACGGGGAGTGACTGCCCAGTAAGTGGCAGAGCCAGGGTTAGAAGCCGGGGCCTCTGACCCCCAATCCCTCTGCCTGTCAGCAGCCTCTGAAGCCCTTCCAGCGGCAGGGGCCTGCTCTGTCTGGCCCTGGGCATCGTTGCTCTGTTCCTTATCTGTGTCCTCCAGGGCACTTTCCTCAGGGGCCGGGCGCTGGGGAGGGGGCTCCTCCGTTGTTCCCCTCCTCCCTCCCCTCTAGGGAAAGGAGCGAGTGCTACTGACTTCACTTGTGACCCTTCGGGGGAAGGTTGGCAGCTCCTCCTGCTCTTCTCCCGGCCCAGGGAAGCTTTGGCGTGCTCATCAGAGAAAGTCGGGCCAGTCACAGAGTAGCCGCAAGGCCTGGCTTCCCATCTTGGCTTGGCTGCTGTCTCACTGTCTTCCGACTGGCCTCACCCTCCTCTAGAGCTGGGATCATCAAGGCCAGTCCATCCATTTTATGGATGACAGGGTCTGCAGTGGGATTTGAATCCAGGTCCACTGACTCCTGGCCCATCAGCGGTGCTGCCTGTGCTCTAGGTCCTTGGGCCTCTCTTGGCTGGCTCCCTCCTGCTGGCTTCTTTTTCTCCCCCCGGTCCTCATGTGTGTTGCTGTGACAGCCCAGCCCACCCCTGACCCCTCTCTCCAGCCCAGTTGCTGCCATTACTGATGAAACTCTCGGGATTATACAATCAGTCAGAGTTGTGTCCTCCACCCCTGGGCTCCCTCTCCTATTGGCCCATGTCTAAGCCCTGCATGGGTGGGGGGGCGGGGTGGATGGAGAGGTGGAAGTGTGCAAGGAGGGGAGAGGCTGGTCTGCTGAGCGGCTGGGGAGCACACATAGTAGGGCTGATCTGGTGAGGGCTGGGGAGCACACATAGCAGGGCTGACCTGGTGAGCACACTCAGTGGGCTGATCTGGTGGGGGCTGGGGAGCACACATAGTAGGGCCGATCTAGTGAGGGACTGTGGGGAGCACACTTAGGGCTGATCTGGTGAGGGCTGGGGAACACACATAGTAGGACCGATCTGGTGAGGGGCTGGGGAGCATACTTAGTAGGGCTGATCTGCTTCTGTGGGTGTTGCCCATTCCCTGTCCTGGGGACTCTCTAGGCAGCACCTCAGGGCTAGGTGAGGAAATTGAGGCTTGTGGAGGGGGTACACGCTGTGGTGTGATGACTAGGTCACAGGACTTTAGAGCCAGGAAGGCCTGGGTTTGAATCCTGCATCAGCTGCACTGGCTGAGGAAGTCCCTCAGCCTCCCCCTGCCTCAGTTTCCTCAGCTGTCAGGTAAAGAGAGACTGGCCCGCAAGGCTCCTTTCCAGCTAGTTCTCCATCTGCAGTGGCTGAGCCAGGATCTGAACCCAGGTCTCTGGGTCCCCCCATTTGGTGTTCTTCCACTTTGTCCTGCTTTGGGTTGATGGGGTGTTGCTCCTTGTCTCATACACTAACTCTCTTCTTCCCAACTCTCCTCCTTCTAGGACGTGGGTCTCCTGGAGTATCAGCACCACTCCCGGGAGTACACCCCCCACCTGTCCCCCGGATCTATCATTCAGCCCCAGCGGAGGCGGCCGTCCTTGCTGTCGGAGTTCCAGCCGGGGAATGAGAGGTGAGGACCCAGAGCTGCCTGGGGGGCAGGGTGGGGGTGTGGTTCTGGGGGTCTCTCCTGCCAGGCCGAACCTCGCCCTTTACTGGGGCGGCCCGGACCCTGCCTGCGATTTAGAGCCTTCGAGAGCTGCCTGGGTCTTCTGGGCTCCAGGGCCCTTGGTGTTGTTCTGTGAGACTGGGGCTGATTCCTTGCCGTTTTACAGACGATTAAACTGAGGCTGAAGAGGGGGAGGGGACTAAGGCTTGTGAAATATGTGCAGGGTGGAAGTGGGCAGAGAACAGGGTGGGAGCTCACCTGGAATTTGGGAGCCTCTCACTGCCCAGGAGAGTGTTGGAGTCCGACAAAGATGAGGACGGGAGAAGGGAGGAAGGAAGGAAGGAAAGGGGAGGAAGAGGAGGAGGAGGGGAGGGAGGGGGAGGAGGAGGGGAGGAGGGGGCGGCGGCAGCGGTGGTGGTGGTGGCTGCTGGATCAGGGGATCCCGGATCTGTAGCTGGAAGGGACCTCTGAGGCTGCCTGCCAAACTGAGGCCCAGAGAGGTGGGATGGTTTCTTAGAGTCACACATCAAATCAGCAGGATTTGCACCCAGGTCTTCTCATCTCCAAGTTTGGTTTAGATCCAGCTTCAGACACTTAGTAGCTAGGTGACCCTGGGCAAGTCGCTTAACATCTGTCTGCCTCAGTTTCCTCTACTGTAAAACGGATATACAGCAGCTATGTCAAAGAGTTGTTGTGAGGATCCAGTGTTACTGGTCAGAGTGCTTAGCCCAGCGCGCGCCCATCCCCTTCCTCTCTCTGTCCTCTGCACTGTGCTGAGAAAGCCTCTGCAGGGCCAGGAGCTGCTCTGGCCCCTGCACTGGCCCCACAGGCTCAGCCTCTTCCCCTCCCCGCCATGCCTGCCCCTGTAGACCAGGCCTCTTCTGGGAGCCCCGGGTGACAGCTGGCCAGCACTAGTATTTCTCTGAGGAGAGGAGAGTGCATGGGGACCGTGGACAATATCCCTCGTTTTCTGTGACCTCGTGAGGTGGTTGGGGAGCGAGGCGGGTTCTGGGCAGAGAGCAGAGCCTGAGAGCTGTAAAGGCCCCCGGGCTGACCCTCTCCGTCTCGGATGAGTCTTCTTCTCTGAGCCCAGGCAGGGGTCTGGGTTCAGATGCTGCCCCTGACACTTGGGTGCATCCTTTCATCTCCCTGGGCTTCAGTTTCCTCATCGGCAGAATGCTGGCCCCTGGGGTCCCTTCCAGGTCTGCATCTGTTTATTATCTGAGTGTGACGTGGGTGTGGGAAGCCAGAATTCCTCACAGACACCCCCCCCCGCCCCGCTCAGCCTCGGGACTCTTGGGGCCAAGGAGGGTGGTCTGACACCCTTGCTGGGTGTCTGTGCCCAGAATTTCGCGGCTGGAGGGGAGCTCAGGGACCGTCTCGTCAGACCCTTCCCCGGTCATCCCCATCGGCTGGGAGGCTTCCCAGGAGCAGCCCCTTCCTCTCTGGAACAGCTCTGTGAACAGGAGCCTTCTCCTGACATTCACCACAAATGGAAAGGCAGCTCAGAGCTGTAGGAAGAGTATGCTTCTGGGCCTCGGTCTCCTCATTTGTAACATGAGAGGGATGACCAGCTCTAAATCAAGGGAAGGGGATAGAGATGGGGATAAAGACAGGTCTTGGATTTCCCTTCAAAGGGAACTCCCAGGTAAGGAAATTTCCTCCCCCGATGCAGGTCAGCACCTTTTCCTGCGTTTATCACTGTCTGGGTGGAAGAATGCACTCGAATCCAGGGTCTCCTAACTGAGGCCAACTCTCTCTCCTCTCAGTCACTCTGCTTCTTAATCTATGTTTCTATAAAATTGGTCTTTGGGGCTCCTGCTTGTTTCTTGTAGCTCTGTCCTTTAGGGCCAGCCACTGCCCATGATGGCCGGCATGTCCCTCCCAAGCCTCCTTTCCTCTAGACCACTTCTGCTAGGCCCCTCTAACCAGCCCTCCCGCGGCCCAGGCCCCTCTAACCAGCCCTCCCGCGGCCCAGGCCCCTCTAACCAGCCCTCCCGCGGCCCAGGCCCCTCTAACCAGCCCTCCCGCGGCCCAGGCCCCTCTAACCAGCCCTCCCGCGGCCCAGGCCCCTCTAACCAGCCCTCCCGCGGCCCAGGCCCCTCTAACCAGCCCTCCCGCGGCCCAGGCCCCTCTAACCAGCCCTCCCGCGCCCCAGGCCCCTCTAACCAGCCCTCCCGCGGCCCAGGCCCCTAACCAGCCCTCCCGCGGCCCAGGCCCCCTAACCAGCCCTCCCGCGGCCCAGGCCCCCTAACCAGCCCTCCCGTGGCCCAGGCCCCTCTCACCAGCCCCCCCGTGGCCCAGGCCCTCTAACCACAGCCCTCCCGTGGCCCAGGCCCCTTTCACCAGCCCTCCCATGGCCCTTCATTTTGGCCACTCTCCGGTGTACCTCCACGGTCTCCTTTCTCAGACCTGGCTCCACCTGCCCTCCGCAGCCCAGCTGGGCCCAGGGCCTCTCCCCTCCCCCCAAGAGGAGCCCGGGCCCCTGGAACTTCACGCTCCCCACCCCCAGCCTCAGTGAGCACTCTTGTGTTTGCTGCAGTGACTTGTCGGCTCAGCCCAGGGGGACAAGCCCAGTGATTCCTCCAGCTCCGCTTTCACAATAACTGTCATTTCCTTCTCCATATCTGGGGTGGGTGGGCGGCTGAGTGTTCTAGGAGGAGAAGATAGTGTGAGGAGAAAGGCAGGAGGACAGAGCTGGCCTCCTTGGGGTGCAGGAGCAGCCGTGGGATGAGATAGGGCTGGATAGTGGTGTGTGTGAGGGGTCGGGGGGGGGTCATGTAAGGCCTTAAATGCCAGGCTAAGGAGCTTAGACTTCCTTTGGAGCTGAAGGGCCTTGGCGGAGGCGGGCGCCTCTGGGAGCAGTGCATCGTGCTCGCTGGGCTGCACCTGCTGTTTGGCCCATTCCTTTATTTCTCCCTCTGTCTTCTTGTTGTTACCAGGGATGGCTCTCTGGGAGTGAGAGGCACATTTTTGGAAGTGAAGAGATAGAGCCCAAAGAGACGGGTGACCTTTAAGGCGTCCTACAAGGAGCCTTAGAGGCACCAGACTCCCTCAGCACAGAGGTTAGGCGGGTGGTCCTGCAGGTGGGTGGCATCTGTAAAGCACCTACTGTGTGCCAGGCCCCGAGGAGACAGACAGAAAAGAGAGTTGGCCCTTCACGGGAAGCATGAGCTTTGTCCCATAATATCTCCAGCAAGTGTCAGAGATAGGCCTCGAACCCAGGGCCTCCTGACTCCAATGACATGCTCCCCACCCATGTCAGCCTGGGGTGTGTTCATGGGTTTTGGGAGCAGGATCCCTGTGGGGATCTGGCCCAGGGCAGGTGCTGGGGGAGTCCCTGGAGCCCCTGTGGGGGAAGGGGAGGAGGAGGAGGGGGGAGAGGCAGAGGGGAGGAGGGGGTGTTGGGGGATATTATGTCATCAGCCCAGCTTTGCTGGAGCTTTGGGCTTCTCACTCAGCAGCAGTTAAGTCTTAAAGAGTTCATCTAGCGATCACGTGAGGTGCGCTCCTCTGTCACTAATGACGCTCACCGCACATTAACCGGCTGACAGATTGACCCAGGCCCGGGGAGGGGCATGGGGAGGAGGGCGGGCCACCAGGCCACTAATGACTGGCCTCAGGAGCTATTAAGCCCTTTGATGGGGGAGGGGAGGAAATGGCACAGCTGCCCTGCCCCTGGGGGCGGCTCTGTCCATCCTGTGCTGCATCCCGCTCTCCCGGGGTGTGTGTCTGCTCACTGCATTGGTGGTTTGGGCCCTGTGTCATTGTCCCTCTGTATGACTCGTCTATACCAGTGGTTTGTGCACGCTGGCGTTCTGTCTGCCTATCCATGTGGGCAGTGCCTGTGGGTCACCCGGTGGTGCCCAGTCTAATGTAATCTGTGGGCAGGGAGGGGAGAGGCATGGGCATAGAGGGCCTTTTGCCACCTCCCTCTGATGGCAGGGCAGAGTGAGTATGTCTGGGAGGCTGGGAAGGGATGGAAAAGAGCCTTGGCCCGGGGGAGGCTGGGAAGTTGGCTAGGTTCCCTCCCCTGGCATTAGAGGAAGGCGGGAGGGAGGAGAAGGAAGGGAGGGGCCCTTCCCAAGCTGTGAAAAACTGGGCAAGATGGAAGCCCTGCAGCCTCATTTTTTCCCCAAATTAATGTGGGAAAATAAGGAACGAAAGGAACAGCTGGAGGCAGCTGGGCTTTGGCTTTTTTAAGAACCTATTTTTGGTGGTGGCATTGTCATCGAGCGTGCTCGCCGCCTCCTCCCGGCCTTGCTAACCAGAGTCCCTCCCTTGGATCTGAGGCCTGGCTGCATCCTCCAGCACAGACCTGTTCTCTCCCCTTCCCCGTGCCTTGGCGGGGAGTGGCGGCCGTCATGGAAAGAATGCTGGGGCCTGAGCTCTCAGGCCTCAGGCTGCGTCCTTCCCCTGTGTCTCAGTTTACTTATCTGTAGACAGGAGAGATGTCTCTGGGCTCTGAGGACTCTGGGATGTCATGGGCCAGGACTTTGCAGAGAAACAGGTGGCCTGCCAGGGAGGGACAAGGTCAGGGGTGTTGGGGGGATCCCCGAATGTCAGCAGCGCCCAGGCTTCTCAAAGATCAGAATGGGCAGGTCTATAGAGATGGTCTCCCATGATCCCCCTCGCCCAGCCTTCTCTCCCACACCCCATCTTACGGATGATGAAACGGTCCCAGAGAGGGGACCTTACTTAGAGTTACACAGGGCCAGCCCCTCACTGCCCGGGCAGGGATCAGAGATCTCAGCTCTGGAGCTGGGAGGAAGCGTGGAGGTCATCTGGGTCAACACTCGTCATTTGACAGAAGAGGAAACTGAGGGAAGAGGAGTGATTTGGCTGGAGTAGTAGAGCTGACACCCTCAGACCCGTGTTCTCTGACTCATTTCACTGCCCTCCCACCAGACCACATGTTCTCCAAGAACTTGCCCCTGAGGTCACCTCAGCCAAAGCCAAGTCAT